GATCGGTGCAGGTAGTACCACAAATGTGTGGACTAAGGTGTGCAAAGTTATACGGATAAAGGTGGCTCCAAGTACTTAAGTAGGTGGGAATGCCAACCAGCAAACCACACTATGAAATGCCTTAAATCTAAACACCTACATCTCCTTAACAGTTGATGCATTATAATAAAGAAATAAGTTGCAATTTACTTGATAGAGGGCGATGCCAACGATGTTATCTGGGAAGATGTTTCTACAAACGAAAAAAGCATCCTAGGTAAATGGGAAATACTACACTCATTAACAAATAACGAAACTACTTACAGGAACAAATCCGCAAACACATCGGATGTGGTTGCCGCCTTTTCGTTCTCCTTAGGAGGGCGGCTGCCAGAAGTGTCTTGGGCAAATCGACCTGTAAGTATGGAGCTTCGTTTTATACTCCCAAACTCAATACAGACGTCTTCTCAACGCGCTTCGATTCCTCCCACAATGACTTGCGCTTTTATCAACCAGGAAGGAGGGAGTTGATTCCCAACCTTTCCATTGACATTTCGCACATCAGACGACTACTTTATCAGGCGATAATCTGTTCGTGCGCTCCTCGAAATGGTTCGCACCAACGACTTACTGCAGGTTGAACGAACTTGTAAAATACACGCCAGACGGTTCCTGTGCAGCATCAAGCACAAATGTGTGCACCAGTGCCTCGGCAATCTTTCCTATCCTCCGTGTCATGTTGGAACGACAAAAGTGTGGATTAAACCTGACGGATGTGGTTCGAGGCCGTCTGTTTTACAAGCCGACACTTAACTCGGCTCCAAATCCGCGGAAGCTGGCTTCTTGTCCAATTTGTGCTTAGCATTTGGAGGGAGTGCGTTGTGCGACAGCAAAACGTACCACCTCTAGTGGTGAATCACTAGATGGTGCTGCATCACGTCCAGGAAGACCCTCCATTCCTGCCAATGAATGCAGCATTGTGCAAATGCTGACATACTTTCGTCGCAGCTACACCAACAGGGCAATTTGTGGTGGTTGCTGGACGAAAGGGTGACAGTAGGCGTCGGAGCCTATCGACCCATTTTTTCAACAACGCGTGGTTCTAGATGGTTCGCTGACTCATGTGTGTTGGGGAGTGGTTGTTGTGCTTCTGTATTTCAACGTTAGGCGAGCCAACTTACTATGTGTCATTTGCAAGTGATTCACTCCCTATCCTTTCCACACTTCGTAGGCATCACCTACACACAAGACGACTAGCACTTCAGGATGGGAGGTAAATACTGTCTCATACTCCGTGTTGGCCCATATTACTTCTCCAGGTGATTGCCACCCTTCCTTGGCTTTGGATAATGGTGTGTAAAGTGGACAGTTGGGAAGTGAAAGTAGAGTGGGATGGAAAGGGGTGGAGGGGGCGAGTGGAAGTCACAAGCTGGTGTCTCTTTGGGAAGGGATTGTAGAGTGTGCTGTTTTCTACAGACGCGTAATTTCATTTCGAGAAACCACACAAACTCATTTGGATGCCTTTAGTCTTGCAATTGA